TAAATGAGTAGGCTCTTCACATCAGGTGGCCAAAGTATTGGAATTCAGCTTCAGCATCAGTCCTTCTAATGAATATTCAGGGTTGATTTCCCTTAGGATTGCCTGGTCTGATCTCCTTGCAGTCCAAGCGACTCTCATGAGTCTTCTTTAACACCACAGTTTAAAAGAATCAGTTCTTCAGTGCTCAGCCTTCTTTATCGTCCAACTCTCACATTCATACACAACTACTGAAAAAACCATAGCTTTGACTAGACGGACCTTTGTCAGCAAAGTGATGTCTCTGTGTTTTAATACACCATCTATGCACAGAATGCACAGATCTGAATAGTATAAGGAAAACACAGAAGTTTCCGTTAACCCAATTTTATGGATTATCATGCTAATACTTCATGCCTGGGATTCTGTAACCTGCTTTGCTGGCTCCCCAGTTTTCAGGGTCTCCCTATTTTAAAGCACTCGACATACTGATGCTAAAATCATCTTTCTTCCGTGCTGATCTGAACATGCCACCATCTGGAGTATTATCTCCAACACTCTTGGGTTAATGTATTTTCCTGAGACCTTCGAGACTCTCCATCAGCTAAGACCTATGACTGACTTTCCTCAACCTAGGATGACAGTGTTTGGCTAATCACAGTTTTGTTCATTCATTTGTTCATCCATCCAGCATTCATTCATGTATGCATTTTGTAACATAGCATCTATGATGTGCTAGGCACTGCAAAGGACAGTAGAGGGGAATACAAAAATAAGTCATCTCTGCTCTCCAAGGCTTTATAACCTCATCTAATTCTTATATGCACAAGTGGCTCTAGTGGTAAAGTACCTGCATGCCAGTGCAGGAGACTTAAGAGGCACGGGTTCAATCCCTGGGTTGGGACGATCCCCTGGAGAAGGGCATGGCAACCCACTCCAGTATCCTTGCCTAGAGAATCACAAGGACAGAGAAACCTGGTGGGCTACAGTCCATGGGGTTGCAAAGAGCTGGATACGGCTGAAGCCACTTAGCACACACACAGTTCAAATACAAGACTAACTGTGATAAGAGAGGTGGTGAAAGTAGATTCATAGTTGTAGGTAAACTCTGAAGTTTACCTGTGGAAGAATTAATTCCAATGGGCAGAACATACAAGACCTCCAGGAGGGGTACTATTGAATCTGTACAAAGACAAGTAGATTTCCATAAGCAGAAGGGGGAAATGGGAAAAGACTGGCTCAGCTTTCTGTCTGTTGGTCAAGTTAGGTCTCCTATTGCCTTATCCGTGTGTCTTCTTGGGCATTTGAACACAAAGAATGTTTTTAACCAGTGTCCTACATACTCAAGGGCCTGGTAATCATGCACACCTGACCTAAAAAGGAAATTTCCAGCATGGTAACAGTCAATGGCATATGAAAAGGCATGAACAGACAGATTTTGTTTCAAGATTATGAGTGTAAAGAATAGAAGACAAACTTACAAGGACGGGCACCCACCCTTATCAGCCAAAGAAACTTTCTTAACATTGATGTTTACATGAACTTTAGCTTTAATGATGTCATTCTCCTAAGTAAAAATCAGATCTAATATCCCCAGGGGTTCTTTTTGACCTGTGCAAAGTTAGCATATATAGGACTTGCTTTTTTTTTAACTTTCAACATTGCAAAATGAGGAGATTCAGAGTAAGCTCCTTTTGAAAAACTAGGTCCTCATATGTAGAAAAATTGGATTCTTTGACTAATACGTTGTAGACACGGAACAAAAGGGAAAAGATGTTCAGGCTCTTGTGGGATTTAATGGACAAAAGGGAAAATGGATAAATAACATAGATAGACTGATGGATGGCAACATTAGAGGGCTAGAAAGGAGACAGGGAAGAGGGCAGATGGGAAGGGGTACAATTTCAAATCACATGGTCATGGATGACCTCACTGAAATGGAGACATTTCAGTTAAAAAACTTAAGGTGTAGAGGAAGGGTAACATGGAATTCTGGAACTTTGCTTTCTAGCAGAGTAGCCCACAGCCATATGTGGCTATCTTAATTTGTATTCATTAAAATTAAATAAAATTTAAAATTTAGGTTTTCATGCACAGTAGCCACATTTCCAGTGCTCAAAAGTCACCCATGACTAGTTGCTACAAAGCAGATATGGGACATTGCCACCATTACAGAGTTGTACTAGACAGCATTTCAGAGGTGGGGTATTCCATGCCGAGGGGACAGCAAGTGCAAAGGTCCTGGGGTGGATGGGACATTGCTTGATATGAGCTAGAGAGTGGCACTGCTCTTCTGCTCACACATTCCTGCTATGCCCTACTGTCTGTCTTATACCATAGCTACATGGCAGTTGTCATTTAGCACCTTACCCCAAGCCAACTTTCCAAAGGCCTTTGTTGATATTAAGTTTTAGACCTTTGGTCAATGCCATAGAATCTATGGGGTCAAGTCCCAAACTCCCTGGTCTTGCATTGAGAAACTGTGAAAGAGCATGAAGTCCAAGGATCTGGATCAGGAGTCAGAACATGTGTGTTCTGTTTTAGAGCAGAGTAGGTTCTGGTGTGATTCAAAGAATGTTCTCAGGGATGACAAGGCACAAGCACCTACTCATCACAGATACTGTTGGTCACAAGTGTCCTGGAGTGCCTTTAACAGACCAGGACCAAAGGTCTAGTGGACTGTTAGTTGGTATTTCAGGAGGAAATCTGGAGTATGGAGTATGACATTGGGTTTTTTGGGAGTTTTTTTTGTTGTTTTTTTGGTTTTTTTTAGTTGCTAAGTCATGTCCAACTCTTGTAACCCCATGGACTGTAGCCTGCCAGGCTCCTTTGTCCATGGGATTCTCCAGGGAAGTATATTGGAGTGGGTTGCCATTTCCTTCTCCAGGGGATCTTCCTGACCCAGGAATTGGACCCGGGTCTCTGGCATTGCAGGCAGATTCTTTACCGACTGAGCTACGAGGGAAGCCCATGACATTGGAGCAGAAGTATTTGAACATTATATAAGCTGGTACACTCTTATATGGTCCATACAAGTGGAATTTCAGCCTTGAATAAATACATGTAATAGGTATTTGGAAACTGTAATGTCTGATAGAGTTAATTGCAGGGGCCTTTCCAGTAAACACACACAGCTTTCAGTGACAGGATGTAAGGTGTCCAATATGTCACCAGCATCTATTCTGATATTTTCTCCTCCTCCTTCATTGCAGGATCCCCCTCTCCCACCAATAGGACATGTTCAGGGCCCAATAGGTTCTGTGTCCTACCACCCTGGCATTTTTCTCACATTTTTCCTTCTTATTTGGGGGACCTGCATCCTCTTTTCTACCTGTTTGAATCTTCTGCACTCAGCTCAAGGGCAAAGCTCAAACTCCCTTCATTGACTTTTCTTTGCCCATGGCAGGCCAGATGCATTTCCCTGCTCCTGTTAGCTGCAATGCTCATTATTCACACTCACTTGGCAATTATCAAGACTACAACACAGTATCTTTGTTTTTTATACGTGTATCTAGTCCTGGGTCAAGTCTCAAGTTTGAGCAAACTCTGGGAGATAGTGAAGGACAGGGAACCCGGGTGGGCTGCTGTCCATGGGGTCACAGAGTCAGGCATGACTTAGCGACTGAACAACAACCACAAGTCTCAGGATCCTTGAACGCAGAGGTCACAGGTCATTCTTCCTTTTTCCCTTGCATGGCCATATTTCCATATATATTTGCCAAACGTCTGCCATATGAGGGCTGAGGGTACAGTGGCAAACCAACAAAGGGCCCTGATCCCCTGTAATCCTTGGTTGTCAACTTAATTTTTTCTAATGTGAGTAAGCTTACTCAGTTCTTGCCAGTCAAGACAGGGGTACTGTGTCCTACTGATAAGGAGTAAAAGCAGTGGCTGCCCCTTCCTGAACACAGATTGATCTGGGAGGTGAAGGTTAAGGCCCTGTTGGAAGAGTCTCACTGCCAGGGCTCCACTATTCCTGCCTCCTGGAATGGTGTTAACAATGATTCACACCACAGTAGGCCTTTACGCTTTACCAAGCACATTCATCACATGCATCAGGCTTTCAAGGAAAGTCAGGTTCCAACTTGTCCACAGAGAATCACCTCCAGGTCACCAGATTTGCATCTGTTTTGCCCAGCACCTATCATAATGAACAAAAGTTTTAGACTTTAATGATGAATGTGCCAAAGAGAGGACAGCGTGGCGGCAGTTCTAGTTCAGTGATGTTTGACTTGTAGCAGAATACAGAACCTAGTTTGAAGTTCTTTGGCGAAAATCGTTTCTGGGAAGAGTGATAACGATTTGGGGCTAGGTTGTGAATGGGAAAAAAAAAAAAAAAAACACCTTGTGCGCCAGGGCAGTGTGGTGGTGTTCCCCACTTTGTAGCTCACTTGGTCAAAGTTCAGGTCGAGGCCGGCATACAGGAAAAGGGGGTGAAGCGGGGCCTTTCAGCCTAAAGGGAGTAGGGGGATGGGCCGTGCCGTCGAGTGGGTTTGGTGGTGGAATCTGGAAATCCCACATCTGTGGAAGAGAAGGTGCTTAAGGCTCCGGAAGTGGCTGTGGGGGCCAGGTCCGCAGGTTGAGGTGTGCTTCGGCGAGGGCGGGGCGGGGCGGGGCGGGGGCGGAGCTATGGCGGGGTGGGGCGAGCCGGGGTGGGCCCAGGCACGTGGGCGGAGAGGGGGAAGTGTGGGTTGCGGGGCAGGGCCGGGTCCACAGGCGGAGGAGGGGTGGGGCAGGATCGTACTGGAGGGGGGGGCGGGGCCGTGCGTCGCGGGGTGGGGCGGGCCGAGCGTAAAGGGGCGGGCGGGGCGAGGCGGGGCGCACCTGGGCTGGGCGGGGGAGGTGCGCGGGCCTGAGCCTGGCGGGCGCTGCGCGCCAATGGACGGAGGCTGGCAGCTCGCCAGGCACCCGAGCCGCCGTAGCACCCTCTTGCTGCCTGGCGAAGGCGCGCAGAGGCGAGCGCGGGGAACAGCCGCCGGCGCCACAGCCGCCGTCAGGGCCTGACGGCCGTGGGCTCCGTCAAAATGCAGCCGCCGTGGGAGAGCCCGGCCCTGGCCCGGGTGGCGGCCGTGATGGTGGCGGACGGCGCCCTGCGCCGCAGCCCCAGCCCGCGCGAGCCGCGGCTGCGGGACCTGCCAGCTCTGCTGCGGAGCGGGCTCATCCTGCGGAGGAAGCGCGGCGCGGCTGGGGGCCAGGTGAGCGGCTGGGTCCCAGGTGAGCGGCTGGGTCCTGCGCCGCCGGTGTGGGCGTGGGAGCCCGCGCCCACCCTCCGGGGCGACCGAGGAGGGCATCTGGAAGTTGGGGAGGTGCCGGCGGTGGAGCCTTTGTGCCGGCCTAGGCAGAAGAGGGGCCCGGGAAGGCGGGGTCGTGGGGTGCCCCCCGCGGAGCGGTGGTTTCCCTCTCCCCTAGATGCACCTGACAGTCCAAGCGCGCCTGGATTCTCGCTGCGCGACCGTGAACATCTCCCGAAGAAGGGCCGTTTGCCTGTCCCCAGAGGGGGAGCTGCAGATTTTCGGTGCCTATTGGCGGGCCCTGTCCGACAGCGAGCCCAAGGCCCCACGCGTGGGACCTCAGTTTGCAGGAGGCTTGAGAGGTGTGTACTGCTGTCGGACGCCTAGTTGCAATTTTGGGCATCGACACTGGCTTAGAACCCAAGGAAGGCCACTCCTCCACCAGGATCCTAGGGAACACACCAGCAGGAAGTGAATATTTAAGATTCTGGGGGCGTCGATGAGAACTAAACTTTGGCACCAACACTGGCTCTTGCCCCCGCCAGGGCCGAAGGACAGACGCCAGAGTTGAAAGTTCTAGGGCTACCTCTAGCTCCTGGGCTCCCCAGTCGCCAGCAGTTAGTTCTCAGCGACGCCCCCAGAATCTTAAATATTCACTTCCTGCTGGTGTGTTTGGCAGGATTTCTGGCGGAGGAGTGTCCCTCGTTGGGTTCTAAGTACATCTAATGGCCCGAGCAGGTCAGACATGTTTTGTGGTGAAGAAAAGCAGGACGGCCTGGAATCTCTAATAAGTCACTCAGTAGCCCCTGCTGACTTGTCTCGTGTCCCTGCTCACCAGGGCCTTGGGCATCTTTGGGGGGGTTTACTTAGCTTTTAAAAATCTGGCATCATTAAGGAGACTTTACGGAGAAGGTATCACAAGGTAGATTTTTGGTCTGTAATTTAAAAAAGAAATCTTAGCCTTAAAAGATCTTGCTGGGGGACTTTCAGCTTTTGAAAGATAGGTTTGTGAAACTTGAGAGTTAGGGAGAAACACTGGGTTTGGTATGGCTTCCTTTGGGCAGGAAAGGGTCTGAACTGACTTTGAGTCTTTGGCCTTTCTAGGCTGTGTTCCTCCTTCCCTGAGAATTCTTCCCACATAGAGATAACTGTACATGACCTATCTCAGAAGGATGTTTTGAGGATTAGCTGAGCAGGAATAGGACATCTTTAGGTCAAATGACCAGGGGAGTTTAGGAATTACCTGCAAATGACCTTAACGTGTGGAGTACAGGGTTGCCTGCAAAGAAAGGAAGGAACTGTGTCCCAAAAATGTGATAGCTAAATAAACACAAATGTCAGAGGTAGAGACTTTCCAGGAGTCGAGGGGAAAGTAGGTCAAATTGTATTTCTGGTATCCTTGACAGTTACTTTTTCACTGCACAGAATACTGACACCATGAGGGCAGCCAGGCAGTCTGTGAGGAGGATTGCCCAGGGTTTCTGTGTAAATAGATCTGGAGTGTTCATCTGCGTAGAGGCTTGTGTTTCCCCCTGCCTGGGATGATGTTGTCGTGTACCTTGCCAAAATACACATTTACTCTAATTAATTATTCTGAATGTGATTACTTCAAATAAGGTGTACTTTATTATCCCTTCTTTGGTTCTGACTTCCATGGTGGCTCAGATGGTACAGTGTCTGCCTACAATGTGGGAGACCTGGGTTCGATCCCTGGGTTGGGAAGATCCCCTGGAGAAGGAAATGGCAACCCACTCCAGTGTTCTTGCCTGGAGAATCCCATGGACGGAGGAGCCTGGTGGGCTACAGTCCACCCGGTCCCAAAGAGTTGGACAGGACTGAGCGACTTCACTTTCACTTTCTTTGGTTCTAATACTGCCTTAGCTCTCCTTGAGACATTCCAAACACATTACATAAGTGCATGGCCAGGTTTTTTTTTCTTTAATTGGGGGAAGATTGTCAGATTTCCAACATTGGAAACCCATGATTTTCAACTGTTTTCCCTCCTTTGGCTCTGGAACCACCTTTGTGTTTGTGGAACCTTCCCATCAAAGAAGTTGGAAAGGGTTTGAAAGAAAAAGAAAAATAGGTGAAATATGTATTAGTTTGTTCAGGCTACCATAACAAAATACCATAGACCTGGTGGCTAACATAATGGAAACGTATTTTCTCACAGTTTTGGAGGTTGAGAAGTGCCAGATCAAGGTGCCAGCATATTTAGTTTCTGGTGAGAACTCTCTTCCTGGCCGGTAGACAGCCACCTTCCCTCTATATCCTGACATGACCATTGCTTGGTGCCTGTGGAGGAAAAGAAATCTCTGTCTCTTTTTTCTTTTTTAAAACTGAAATACAGTTGACATAAACATGATGTTAGTTTCAGGTGTACCACATACTGGTTGGTATCTGCATACATTGGAAAATTCCCATAGGAAGTTATTACAGAATTATTGATCATCTTCCTTATGCTGTATATGACATCCTCATGGCTTATTTATTTTATAACTAGAGGCTTATACCTCTTAACCTTGTTCACCTGTTTTGTGCCATCCCCCGTCACTTTATTCTCTGTATCTTTGTCTACTTTCATTTTGTCTTGGTTTTTAGATTCCACATGTGAGTGAGATCTTTCAGTATGTCTTTTTCTAACTTATTTCACTTAGCATAATACCCTCTAGATCCATCCATGTTGTCACCAATGGTAAGAATTCATTTTTTTGAATGGCTGAGTAATCTTTCATTATATGTATATACCCTATCTTTTTGATCCATTCACCCATCAGTGGACATTTCACTTACTTCCATATCTTAGCTATTGTAAATAGTATGGCAGTGAACATAGGGGTGTATATATCTTTTCCAATTAGGGCTTTTGTTTACATTGGATAAATATCCACCTGTGAAATTCCTGGATCATATGGTAGTTCTATTTTTAATTTTTTGAGGGATCTCTATACTGGTTTCCATAGTGGCTGTGCCAGTTATAACCTTAACCAGTGGTACGGGAGGATTCCCTTTTCTCTGTATCCTCACCAGCACTTGTTGTTTGTTGTATTTTTGATGATAGTCATTCTGCTAAGTGTGAGGTGATATCTCATTGTGCTTTTGAATTACATTTCCCTGATAATTAATTAGTTGAGCATCTCTTCATATGCCTGTTGGACATCTGCATGTCTTCTTTGGAAAAATGTCCCTTCAAGTCCTCTGACCCCTTTTTTTAATTGGGTTATTTTTGTTTTCAATGTTGAGTTGTATGAGTTCTTTGCATATTTTAGATTGACTCCTTGTTGGCAAAGTATTTACATATTCCTATTCAGTAATCTGCCTTTTGTTTTGTTGATGGATTCTTTCACTGTGAAAAAGCCTTTTAGGTTGATGTAGTCCCTTTTGTTTATTTTTTTTCTTTTGTTTCCCTTGCCTGAGGAGACAGATCCAAAAAAGTATTGCTAAGACTGATAGCAGAGTGTACTGCCTATGTTTTCTTCTAGGGGTTTTATGGTTTCAGATCTTAGGTTTGTAAGACCCACTCTAGTATTCTCGCCAGGAGAATCCCATGGATGGAGGAGCCTGGTAGGCTAAAGTCCACAGGGTCACAAAGAGTTGGACACGACTGAGGGACTTCACTTTGTATATGGTGTGAGAAAGTGGTCCAGTTTGATTCTTTTGCCTGTAGCTTTCTAGAGTTTTCCCAAAACCATTTACTGAAGAGGCTATCTTTCCCCTTTTGTATATTCCCCCTTGTCATAGATTAATGCACCATATAAGCATGGGTTTATTTCCGAGTTCTCTATTCTATTTTGTGCCAGTATCATACTCTTTTGATATAGGTACTGGTATCTGTGTGTCTGGTTTAGTACCAGTCCCATACTGTTTTGATGACTGCAGCTTTGTGATATAAATTGTTTGAAATCAGGGTGTGTGATGCCTGGAGCTTTGTTCTCTTAAAACTGCTTTGACTGTTTGGAGTCTTTTGTGTTTTCATATAAATTTTAGAATTTTTTTGTTCTGACTCTTTGATCTCTCTCCCTTTTCTTATAAGGCCACTAATTCCATCATGGAGACACCACCCTCATGAGCTAGTCTCACCCTTACTACCTCCCACAGGCCCTCCAAATACCATCATCTTGGGACTTATGGCTTCAACATATTATTTTGGGGGGAACACAGATATTCAGTCTGTAATAGAAGTGTTTGAAGGAAAGAGAAAAACACAAGTAGTATGTATCAAACCAGTGGGTGACTTGTAAACACTTGGGGTCATGTGGTTAGCCCCTTGGTTAGGGCAGTGATACCAATGCAGGTAAATCATGGCTTAGCTCTTTCTGTGGACCTTCAGTTTTGTATGTCATGAGCTGTACTTCCACATTACGGCTGAGTGATTATAGGGACAAGTCAGCACAGATTCATTACCACTGGCAAGAAAGTAGCTTTGTGCAATACACAAGTTGGTAGGAAACTTTGCAACTTCTGTATTGACCAAGATCTGATTTAGGAAATCTGTGTGGCCCTTGCCCATGCTGCCTTGGGCTCTCACAGATCTTAACCATCTGACATTAACTGTCATCAGATAAGCTCTTTGTGGGTTGTGCTGCACATCCCAGGTACCTTGTAGGCTGTCTCTTACCGGGAAAAAGTAAGCTGACACTGGGTTTTTACTATAGAACGCCTGGTTCCTTGGTTCAGTCAGTGTCATTTTTGAATTCAGAATGCAAGCTGATGAAGACTCTTTGCACCTCTTTAGGCTAAGTGGAATAACCAGATTTTTCTTTAGGGGAGGACCTTAACTACCTCCTAAAAAAATCACTGGTAAGATAAGGCACAGATTGAATTTACACCAAATTCATTTAATTTTTTTTTTAACTTTGTGTTGTGGACGTTATGAGAGAATAATATACTTACCTTTGGTAGCTGTTAACATTTTACCAATTTTGTTTGACTTATTTCTTTTCTCCCCCCTTTTCTTTTGTGGGGGACTAGTGTATTTTAAAACAAAATCCTAAATATTATGTCATCTCACTCATTAGTGTTTCAGTTTACATCTCTGATAAGGACTTTGTTCCTTTAAAAAAAAAGTTGTGTGCCTTTCTTGCCTAAAATTTTTAATAATAATTTCTTAACATGATTCCCTTATTTAATTTTTCTCAGAGATGTCTTTTCACTTATGATTTATTGCAACCAGGAATTAAGGTCCACACATTGTGTTTGGTTGTTAGGTTTTTAAATCTATTTTATAACAACCCTCTTCCCCTGCGTTCTTTTTTCATGCCTTTGATGTGATGGAGATAGCTGGTCATTTGTCAGGTAGAAAGTCCACTTCTGGGGCCACTTCTTATTGTGATGTTGTTTGATTTGTTCATTTATTTTCCAT